CTGTTTTTGTTTTATGTTTTGTTTTTTAAATGTATTTAATGTGTATGTATTTGGTTTGGTTTTTTTCGAGGCAGGGTTTCTCTGTGTAACAGTCCTATCCTGTCCTGGAACTCACAGAGATCCACCTGTCTCTTCCTCCCGAGTGCTGGGATTAAAGGCATGTGCCACCACTGCCTGGCTATTTTTTATTTTTGTGTTTTTGTGTGTTTGCTCTATTTATTTATTCAGGTTATTAAGGCAGTGTGTCACTTTGTAGCTCAGACTGTTCTGGAGTGCAGCTCATAGCCCAGTCTACTCGGGAGACTGAGGTTGTGTGCCCAGGCCAGGCCCAGCTTAGATGTCATCTTCATTTGTCTTCTCTTTTATTTCTTATTCTGGTTTTCTGGGGCAGGGTCTCATGTAGCCCAGGCTGGCCTCCACTTCCCTAGGACAGGGGTTAAGATAGGCCCCAAGCTCACTATGTAGCGAGGTTTCCTCGAGCTCCTGTCTTCCTGCCTCCACCTCCCTAGGACTGGGGTTAAGACAGGTATGCAGCACTGTGCCCATCTCCAATGTCCTCTGTAGAACACTCGCTTATGCTCATACCTGGACTCCTGGCACTCGAGAGGCCGAGGCAGCAAAATCACCAAGAGTTTGGAGTCAGCTTGGGCTACAGTGTGACACTGCAGATGCCCCCAAAGTAGACAAAACCCTAACCCTAAAGTACTGTCCTCTGTGGGTCCTGCCATTTGTTGCCTCTTTTTAGCCTCCTCATATAAAGAAAAACTCAGACCAGCATCCTTGGGGGCACAGGGGACTAAACTCTGACTTCAGGCTGGGGGGCTGATCACCAACCATGACCAGCTGGCGGGCTTGTCTTTTAGTTTCTCTGGGTCTTGCATACCTGTCTTCTAGAGGAGGGTAGCAAGAGCTGACCGGGACTCAACTGTGAGATTCTCCCACAGCAGGGCCACCCACCAGCTGCCAGGATGTCGCTGTTTGAAAGTCAGGATTCCCAGGCTCCGCTTGACTGTTACGAGTTCTGTTGTTTGGTCTAAGACAGGGTTTACTCTGAGGACTCGGCTTGCCTGGAGCTCACCATAGACCAGGCTCACCTTGAACTTGTGGCAAACTTCCTGCCTCTGGCTCCTGAGTTCTGGGTTATAGGCATGTACCACAACACCTGGCTGGTTCTGCATTGGTTTTAACAATGATGTTAAGTAGAAGAGGGCATGTTTATGTAGACACATGAGGGCCCCAGGGGGCCATGAGGTGAGAGGTTTCATAGGCCTTGTGACACCAGACAGAGCAAGGTGGGCTGGGTTCTTGGCAAGGTCTCTGACAGCGGTGTCAGGTGAGTGGCCTCAAACCACCAGCTCTGTCTGTTGAGCTGAGTCTCCCCAAACCAAGTACTTTTCCAAGGAATCCAAGAGGGGTGTTCACTAAAGCAAGTTAGGGTTGTAAGGAAAGCACAAACATTGACTTCTGAGCCAGGACAGGATGGGGTTGCCCTGTGGATCTGCAGCCCACCTTGTCTCTCACAGGTCACCCTGGAGACCACCATCGGCAACAAGAATTCAGCCCTGTGGAAGTACGTGCAACCCCAGGGCTGCGTGCTGGAGTGGATCCGAAACATCGTGGCCAATCGCCTGGCCGTGGATGGGGCCACCTGGGCAGAAGTCTTCAAGCGATTCAACAGTGGCACGTGCGTGTGTTTCTGGCCCCATACCCCTACTTGGAGACCATCGGGGCTCTGGGGCCTTCTGCCCAGCCCCTTCTTGCAAATGCTTACTGGGGCAACCCAAGCCCTTTTTTTGTTTTCTATTTGGGTAAACTGGGGCTCAAGAATGAAAGAATTTTCTTCTATCCTCTCCTGTAAGCCATTCCTTCCTTGTGCCTGGCAGGTATAATAACCAGTGGATGATTGTGGACTACAAGGCATTCATCCCCGACGGGCCCAGCCCTGGAAACCGGGTGCTTACCATCCTAGAACAGATCCCGTGAGTCCTGGGGGCAGAGGGAGGAGGGTCCCTGACGGGTGCAGGTGGGAGGCTCAGGACACAGCACAGCTCCTGCTCAGGGCCCTCGGAGCTTGTCCCCTCACTTGCTTTGTCCCTCTCTCTGGGTCTCAGGGGCATGGTGGTGGTGGCCGACAAGACCGCGGAGCTCTACAAGATGACCTACTGGGCTAGCTACAACATCCCGTATGTCCTTCCTTTTTCCACCCCTACCCCCATCTGTCCTCCCTGAGGCAGGCTCCTTCCCCAGGTGGCATCTTAAACACACAGAGCAATGAGACCTGCCCCAGCCCCTCTCCTGCTGTTAAAGTTCTACCTCATATGTGACCTCCAGTTCTGGTACTGCTGCAGGGTGTCTTTGGATGGACACACCTTGGGACTGGATATTGCCACGAATTCAGCTGAACCTACCCGCATCTCCTGAGAGATGGAGATGCCCATGCAGTACCCAGCCTGGGTCCCTAAATCCAGTCTTAGCCGGGCTCCTCTGAGCTGCCTTGCAGCCCGTGCTTTCTCAGGGTGTTAAGGTCCTGCCATTGGGTGCTTGTGACCATGATACCTGAGTGTAAGAGCCTGTTCTCGTTCTCATTCCATAGATGTGGAAACTGAGGCAGGAATCCTGGCTCATCCATAGCTCCTTGGTCAGAGAATTCTGAAATAGACCCCAGAGCCCAGGTTTATCCCCTACAGTACAAGAGGGCCTTGCTGCAACCTGACGTGGCCCTGACAGCAGCTGCACCGTGACAGTCAGTCATGGCCAGTGGGAGTCGTGGGTGACCACCCTTGTCCCAGCAGGTTCTTTGAGACTGTGTTCAACGCTAGTGGGCTGCAGGCCTTGGTGGCCGAGTATGGAGACTGGTTCTCCTACACTAAGAACCCTCGAGCCCAGATCTTCAGGAGGGACCAGTCATCCGTGAAGGACATGGGCTCCATGGTCCGGCTCATGAGGTGGGTCAACAGAGTCCTGGCTTGGTGCAGAGAGTCACGTGTGTGTCTGTGACAGTTAGTCTGCAGGTATGCCTGCTCCCCGCCCTCCTTGGGGAACCCCTTTCTCCTGGGAGGTGGAGATGCCTGCCCAGGACCCAGACTGGAGCTGAAGTGTGGCGAGGCAGCCTGAGTCCCCACACATGCTGTGGAGTAGACCAGGTGTCTGGTCTGCTTGGTGGAGGGGCCTGGAGAACCTCCCCTAAGAAGAGCCAAGTGACGAGCCTGGGGGATGACCCTTGGAGGTGTGAGGGTAGGCCACATCTGGTACTGGGGTGACCTGTGGAGGGGTAAGAGTGGGCCACATCTAGGACTGGGGTGACCCTTTGGAGGGGTAAGAGTGGGTCGTCTCTGGCCATACTGAGTCATGGCTGGTGCTGGGAGAAGCCTAGGAAGTTCAGGAAGGGGTCAGGGCCACCCTTTCTCCGGGCTTTTCGCATCCCTTCCATCTGCACACAGGTACAATGACTTCCTTCACGACCCGCTGTCACTGTGTGAAGCCTGCACTCCGAAGCCCAATGCGGAGAACGCCATCTCTGCCCGCTCTGATCTTAACCCTGCCAATGGCTCCTACCCGTTTCAGGCCCTGCACCAACGTGCCCATGGTGGCATCGATGTAAAGGTTCGCCACCCAAGCCAGCTACCACATTGCCTGGGGAAGGGTGGGTGGGACGGATGTAGGATCGGGTCAGACGGGTCAAGGTGAAGGGATACCTGCTTTGGGGTCAGCCTTAGAATGGTGCTCTGATTCAGTGGCCTGCTCTCTGACCTCCAGGTGACCAGCTTTTCCCTGGCTAAGCACATGAGCATGCTGGCAGCCAGTGGCCCCACGTGGGACCAGTTACCCCCTTTCCAGTGGAGTAGATCGCCGTTCCACAACGTGCTGCACATGGGCCAGCCCGATCTCTGGACATTCTCACCCATCCAGGTCCCATGGGACTGAGAATCTGCCTCCACCCAGTTGCCTTCACTCTGTGTGGCCACCCACCCTTTGGGGCTCTGGTCTGGATGGTCTCCTCTGCAGGGACACAGACCCAGTGGGCTCAGAGCTGATTCTCTGCCCCCTCACCGCTCTTGCTCTGTGCCTGTCACCAGTGGGCTGGGGCTTATGCTTGGCTGTGGGCCTGGTGGGATCCTGGGTGTCATTCTCCTACTGCTGGTCCCTCAGTGTCTGTGTGGGACTCCGATAGGGCTCATCGTTGCTGTCACTACTAGCCTGCGGGCCTATCACCTCAGGGAACAGTCCGTGTCCCCTCTGGGCAACTTTCCTGAGGTAGAAGCTTGAAAACAAAAACCAAAGTTTCTGGCTGCTGGTAGCTGGAGGGTCTTGTGTTCTTTCTGCAGGAGGGGTGCACCATCACCCTGTTCTCCTGCCCCACCCCCAGCCCGAGCTTGCCCCTGGCCTCCTGGTAGGTGTCCCTGGCTCTGTTCCGAGGGAGCCAAGCATGGGCTGTACTCCCACTGAGTAGGAGGGGCCATGGCCGTGCTGTGTCTTGTGAGGCAGCAGTGAAGGTCAGGGCCCTGTACCACGCCCTGCCCATTGTTCTCGCCATCCATCTGTCCTTTCACTCCTGTGCCAGCCCACTTACCACTGTCTGACTGCAGAGCAAGCCCCCCGCCCTCCCAGCACCCATCCTCACCTACTCACCCAGCCAGAACCGCACACCCTTTCCTTTCGGTTCTGAGACAGAGTGCTGCTGTAACGGGCATTGGCGGGCACCCTGCCACAGCTGCTCTGGCCCCCAGAGGAGCAATGCTCCCTACCCACGTACTAGTCACTTGGGTCTCCCAGTGGGCTGGTGTAAGAGTGGGGCCTACACATTCATCATAGAGACCTGGGGTAGGGGCAAAGTGACTAGTACGTGGGTAGGGAGCATTGTTCCTCTGGGGGCCAGGGCAGCTGTGGCAGGGTGCCCGCCAATGCCCGTTACAGCAGCACTCTGGAGGCTGGCCGAAGTAGGAGGCTTACACTGCACGTAGGCCGCATGTCAAAAACAAACAAAACTCTAAAGTCTTTGCTTTATAAATATATATATTATTTATTTACAATGAAAAAGTGCACATTATAAACATGGGTGAAGGAGGGTGGGGCCACTGTCAGGTGCATCCTCTGCCCACACTACTTAGGGGTGCGGGGTCACTTGGGCAGCCCGTTCAGACCGAGCTGTGCCTTGAGAGCCTGCAGCTGGGCCAGGCTGATGTTGCTGCCGCCACACACGACCACCACCAGTGAAGCCAGCGGCCTTGGCAGCCGGCCCTCATCCTGCAGCCTGCACACCACGCCACTGTACACTGCAGCCAGAGCTGCGCCGCACGCGGGTTCCACTAGGATCTTCTCGTCATCTGTGGGGAAGGGACTGCTCAGGCTGAATCCAGCCTCAGTTTCTTCAGCCTGTGTTAAGAGTTCTCAGGCACCTGAGGGGAGTCACAGGTGCCTAGGTGTGGGGCAGCAAGCTGTGGTTATTAGTAGCTGACAGTGTGCCATTTTTCATCCTTTTTTGCCTTTTTTCTCTCTTTGAGACAGGGTTTCCCTGTAGCCTTAGCTGTCTTGGAACTCACTCAGTAGACCAGGCTGGCTTTGAACTCACTGAGGTCCACCTACCCTTGCCTCCCTCCCGAGTACTGGTATTAAAGGCTTGCACTACCACCAGGTTCTTTTTGACCATCTTGTTCCAGGCTGAACCAAGAGAGTTCCATTATAGACCACTTCCGAATCCAACTCATCTCAATGCTTGCCCTTCTGACTCTGGCTACCAGGAAGCTCAAGATGGACATTTGAAAGGCTGGTTGTCTTCCCTGCTGTCTTGGTTACCAGACTCACTTTTTTTTTAATTATTAAAATGTTTTTCATTTATTTTACATACTGACCATAGTTTCCCCTCCCTCTTCTCTTCCTGCTCCCTCCCCTCCACTTCCCTCTAACCCTCCCCCCTCAACCATTCCCTGTCTCCATTCAGAAAGTGGTAGCCTTCTCATGGGAGTCAACAAAGCATGGCATACCAAGTTGAAGCAGGACCAAGCTCCTCCCCCTGCACCAAGGCAGGGCAAGGCAACCCAGCATGGGGAATAGGTACCCAAAAGCCAACTCAAGTTCCAGGCTCAGGTCCTGACCCCACTGCTAGGAGCCTTACACACAGACCAAGCTGCACAGCTGTCAGCCACATGCAGAGGCCTAGGATGGTCCCATGCAGACTCCCTAGCTATTGGTCCAGAGTCAGTGAGCTCCCACGGGCTCTGTGGGATCCCCTGTCATGACCTTAACCCTCTGCCTTTCTCTCCAGCAGGACTCCTGGAGCTCAGCCCAGTGCTTGGCTCCCAGGAGTCCACCAGGATGACCCCAGCTAAGACTCCTAGCAGTAGTGGAGAGGGTGCCTGACCTGGCCATCTAATGTCACCAGAGTGGTGACTACCCTAATTGTCATGGAGAGCATCCGTCTAGTAACTGATGGAAGCAGATGCAGGCTCACTGATGAGTGACTTCAGTGTTTCTTCTTACCACTGACTAGCTTTAGCTTCCACTCACGAGGGATTCTAGGCCGAGGAGGGAAAAATGAAGGGTGAAAGGTCCCACGGTACGTACCCACAAACTTCTCAATAGCGGACACAGCCTCCCAGTCCGAGATGACCTCAGAGAAAATGGGGTGTTCGTAAAACAGCTTCAGGGCCTGCGCCCCCACAGTGTTCACACCCAAGGCCTTGGCAACACTGGGAGATGGGAGTGGGGAGAGGAGTGGGAGACGGCAGAAGGATGCACGTAAGAGGCAGGAACTGCAGGTGAGGGGTGGGATTGGGCAACCCCTGCCCAACTCGGGAGCCTGCACAGTGGTCTCCAACATCACACTGGCCTGACTCCGATGTGCCCTGTCCCCAGCCTGTAGCCTTGACCTGCTTTGTTTGCTTGCTTCTTGCCCCAACCTGCCAAGCTCAAGATGAAGGCCTCCTCTTCCAGAGGGAATCCCTAGTCCCTCGGTTTAGTTGAGGTTTTCAAATAGTCCCCTCCCATCCTGACATAGGGAGAGCTAGTCCTTACTAAAGGATTAGGTGCCACACACTTCCCAAACTCAGTTTTAAAAAATATTTATTATGTACAGTGTTCTGCCTGCATGTTTGCCTGCAGACCAGAAGAGGGCACCAGGTCTTATTACAGATGATTGTGGGCCATCATGTAGTTGCTGGGAATTGAACTCAGGACCTCTGGAAGAGCAGCCAGTGCTCTTAACCTCTATGTCATCTCTCTAGTCCCCAGACTCGGTTTTATAGAACGGGAATCAGGAACAAAGGTGGGGCAGGCAGTGGATGCCCCAAGGTCACATTAACTTAGGGGCTAAAATAGCTGCTTGAATGCCCCCTACTGCACCCATACTTCATGGCAGGATGCCAGTCCCAACAGCGATGTCATTCCCAGAAATCTGGAAGAATCCCTTACCTGATTCAGCCTTCCCTCCCTCCGACAGAAAGTGTTGTCTCCCTAGAAGTCTCTTCTACAGCCCTCAAGGATGTCTGGTGCAAACCGTGTCCAGCCTCCCTTGCAGCTAGGTGTGGCTGTACAACTAAGTTCTGCCCAGTGGGCAATAGAGGAAACATAGACAGCTCTGACTGCTGAGGGTTGGTCTGAGAGTGCTATGTGCCAAACAGCTTAGATAAGGTAGACCAGGTTTAACTCACGCGACGATTTTAACTCTAATCATGGGTTTGCTGAGGTGTAACCCTACTGTCAATCAAGGAGCAGCCCCACTTTGTCTTTAAAGTTTGGGTGTGTCTGCCGCGCGGTGGCTCACACCTTTAATCCCAGCACTTGGAAGGCAGAAGCGGGCGGATCTCTGTGAGCTTGAGGTCAGCCTGGTCTACAAGAGCTAGTTCTAGGACAGGCTCCAAAGCTACAGAGAAACCCTGTCTTGAAAAAAACAAAAAAAATTTAGGTGCATCCTTCTGCCCTCACTTCCTGTTTTCAGACGGAGTGTGGCTGTGCTGGTTGGCACAAAGGCAGCCACTTTGGGCCCTAGGTCAGCACACTCAGCGTGGTGGTGCAGCAGACTCAAGGAACTTGGCCCACAGCTTCAAGGAGCTGTCTCTAATAGGCTTTTTTCTTTTTCTTTTTTAACTAGGGAGAAACAAAGTTCAATTTTGTTTAAGCTTCAAATTTGGGGTTTGGTTATAAATTCTTGTGGGCAAGAGGGTGTTTTATTTCCCACCCTGTGTCCAGGATCAGCCAGGGTCTTGCATATTTTGGAGGCCAGATAAGTGTCCAGCAAAGCAGTGAGGCATGAGGATCTCAAGAAGTGTACGGCATTGCCTGCCATTATCCACACAGAGACTCGTGTTCAAGGCCCAGGTGTACCATGCATGTGCCTGGGTAACTTAGGGAAAATGGCCAAAGCCTCATTTTCACTGCATGCACAACAGGGAGGTAGGTGCCTGGACTCACCTGGTTATCTTGGGCAGGGTGACCAGCTTCCCTTCCTTGATGGCAGCATGGAAGCTGTGGGCACCGAAGGTCTCCATGGCGATGACAGGCACATCCTCCCAGCCCACCTCTTGCAGCCCCTGGACAACTCCACACAGCAGGCCCCCGCCGCCAACGGAGAGCACAATGGCCCCAGGCTTGGCACTCAGCGTCTCCTTCAGTTCCTTGATGATGGAAGTGTGGCCTTCCCTGGGCAGGAGAAGGGTGGCAGGTCAGGGCTGGGCTTCCTAAGACACAACGGGTGGTTGAAGATGCCAGATGAGGTCTGTATTTGCTTCCATCCCAGGCAATGGTGGCCTTCGGAACTGGTCCCTGCCCTCTCCCCACCCAGCCATAGCCTCACTGAACTCCTTGTAAGTGACATCCCCCCAAGAGAGAGGAGGGCTGCGGGAGTAGGTGGACTAAACCCCCACTTCCTACCCATCAGTGGGTACAGTCCCTGGATGCTCATTCCCCACAGACTCTCAGGGTCCCCACGGCCCGAGGTTCAGTTGCCCATGGCAGATGCTAGCGCTTCATCAGTGCATCCCCACCTCATTTGTTCCTAGTCACCCCCAGATGAGATGATCTCCCCAAATCTCTATCTGGGGACACCCCTCCCCATTGCTGATGTGTGCATCTGGATGTTTGTCTATTCTTTCCTGTATACATTGGGTGTGCAACATGGAGAGCCAGGAGGGATTACGCATTAAGACAGATAGGTGCAGTAAGGAGAGGGGTGGCCCCACCTTACCAGATGAGAGGGTCATCAAAGGGATGTATGTACACCCAGCCCGGGTTGTTCTTTTCTAGAGCCTTGGCCAGCTGGATGGCCTCATCCAACATCTGCGGGAAGAGAATGCAATGATGGGGGCTCTGTCCAGCGTCAGGAGCCCTCTCAGTCCTGCCCCCTGCCAGTCTGCACTCACCTCTCCCACGACTTCAACTGTGGCACCTTCATTCTTGAGCCGCTCAATGGTGAGGGTGGGTGTGGTGCTAGGAACAATGATAGTGGCCGGGATGCCCAGCCTTCTGGCAGCATAGGCCGTTGCCATGCCTGCATTGCCCGCTGTCAGGGTAGCAATGGAAGGGGTGTGTCTGGGACCCCAGGTGGGACTCATCGTCCCTTTCCTGTCAGGCTCTGGACTCCCCTCTCCTCCTAGGTGGCCTCTGGACTTCTTTGAGTGGGTTTATTGCTGCAGAGACCAGGGTCCAGAGAGGTGATGCACCTGGCCTCAGGACACACTGTCCAGGACAGAAAGGGAGAGAAAGCCTCCTGGCCACTTACCTGAAGAGCAGACAAAATGTCTATAGCCTTGTGCTGCCCTCTGTGGAGACAAGAGGAGGGGTCAGGCTTCCTCTCTGTCCCTACCTAGGCTCGTCCCTCTCACTGGGACTCACTTTCCTCCTCTTGGTGTCTGAACTACCCTCCCTTGGGCCTGTCTTCCCAAGGAGACTGGCTGGGGCAAGGGAGAAGGTGTCTTGAGGTATTCTCGTGGGCTGGCACCCCATTGCCAGAGGGAACCCTGATATGTGCACCCTACACTAAAATTATTTTCTTTTTAGAAAGATTGTGTTTTTTTATTTAAGATTTATTTTATTTATTTATGTGTGTGTGCATGTGTTACCTGCAGGGGGCAGAAGAGAGCACCAGATGACCCGAAGCTGGAGTTACAGGTGAGCCAACAACTCAGATGCTGAGAGTGAGACCCAAGTGTTCCTAACTGCTTAGCTAACTCTCCCGCCCAATAGTTATTCATTTCTGTTTATGTGCACGTGAGTGTAGTTGTTCTTGGAGACCAGAGAGGGTATCAAGTCCTCTGGATTTGTGAGCCGCCGTGTGGATACTGGGAACTGAGGTTCTCTGCAAGAGCAACCAATGCTCTTAATTGCTGAGCCATCAGAATTCCAGCCCTTAAGATTATTATCATTATTAATTATTATTATTTTGTTATTATTATTATTAGAGACGGGGTCTTTTATGCAGCCTAAGATGCTACTCACTTTTCACCCTTTTGCCTCAATTCCCTGGGTGCTAAAATCTTGGGTGCACGTCTGCACACCGGGCTCTAGAACTGTCAGGTAGGAGGAAGTGCCCTTTCTGCCAGGATACCACCATGCCCTGTACCGTCTTGCAGAGGTGTCCAATGCCTCGGATCTTGAAGGAGCCCGAGGGCTGGGAACTGTCCATCTTTAGGTACACACTGGTGCCAGCCACTTTGGACAGGGCCATGCTGTCACGCAGCGGGGTCTTCACATGGAGGGGCTCCTGGACTGCCATGGCTGGGAGGCAGGAAGGAGATACAAAAGATCAAGACAGCTGCTCTCCTGAGCTCTCCGATCCCTCCTTCACACCCACAATGAGAAGGGAAGGGCACAGAATAAAATCTCAGCTGGGCCCCCTCTCCGCCCAGAGTTGGAAGGTCATGGGTTCAGAAACTTCCTTAGACTGTAAGAGAAGGGTCTTGCACAAACATCCTTAGGCTGTAGTCATGGGCAAGTTTAGGGGAAAGATCTTGCACAAGGTGGTTCAGAATGAGTCACAAGATGGGGGTGTGGATGCAGCAAGTCTGTTTCTGCAAAGTCACCAGGAACCAGCCTCAGTCCATTTGTTTCCATGAGCTCAGAGCATGTCAACAAACATGAAAGAAATGGGCCAAGTGGGATCCCTGTGGAGAGTGGCCCTCAGGTCCACAGCACCCGTCCATGCTCAGCATTTTTTTTTTTTTTTGGTTTTTTTCGAGACAGGGTTTCTCTGTGGTTTTGGAGTCTGTCCTGGAACTAGCTCTTGTAGACCAGGCTGGTCTCGAACTCACAGAGATCCGCCTGCCTCTGCCTCCCAAGTGCTGGGATTAAAGGTGTGTGCCACCACCGCCCGGCTTATGCTCAGCATTTTTGCCCTATTGTATATTACTTGTTTAAACACACTGTGTGTGTGTGTGAGTGAGTGTGTGTGTACTTGCATGCATACACATATGTGTGCAGAGGGCAATATCAGTTGCCCTCCAGCATATTTTTTGAGGCAGGGTCTCTCACTGAGCCTGGAGCTCACTGATTCAGTTAGACTGGCTGGCCAGTAAGCCCCAGAGATCCTTCTGTCTCTTGTTCTCTAGTGCTGGGATTGTAGGTATTTTTTTGCTGCGCTTGGCATTTTTGATGTGAGTTCTGGGGATATGGACACAAGACCTAATAGGAAGGGCTTTCCTAGGAAACCCTTTTATGGACTGAGCCACCTCCCAGTTCCACATATGCTAAAAATAAACAAACAAACAGTATGTTCTTATTAGGCTAGCTTTGAACTTTTGACTCTCATCCTAGGCAGATGGTAACTCTTGGGAGCATCTACGTATATAAGTGCTCAGTCTCCCTTTGCTGGGATCACAGGTGTACCCCGCCATGCCTGGTGTTGGACACACATTTGTTTTTTCAAATGAGCCTTTGATCTGGTGCAGGTCTGTGTCCTGGCACTTGGGAGGTGGAGGCAAGAACATCAGTCATTCAAGGTCATCCTTGGCTACTAGACCCTATCTCAAAACAAAAACAAAGACTTGAGACTCCAGCAGCAAGCTGTGAAAGGTTCTCAATGCTTCTCATATTTTTCCTTCCTTCCCTCCTTCCTTCTTCCTTTCTCCCCTCTCCCTCCCTACCTTTCTCTCTCTTTCTTTCTTTTTTGAGATAGGGTTTCTTTCTGTGTAGCCCTGACCATCCTGGAACTTGCTCTGTAGACCAGGCTGCCCTTGAACTCAGATATTCACCTGTCTCTACCTCCTGAGTACTGGGATTAAAGGTGTAAACCACCACCACCTGGTAGCTCTTAGTTTTTTATAAACAGATTTTTTTTTTTTCCTGGCGTGGGGACCAGAGAGACAACACAGACCCCTGGTTCACCTTCATCACACAGTTCCCACACAGAGAGGAATCCTCTCAAGGCTACATGACAAGTTCAGGTTTGGCTAATGGCACCACAAGGTCCCTTTGGTAGTCACGACAGTGAGGAAGCATTTGGGTTAACACTGGCTCAGCCACTGTCACCTTGCAACCCTATGAGAGGCCCTAAGAGAGATCCAGAGACAAGTAGGATCAAGCCTAGGCAGATGGTGACTCTTGGGAGCACCTACATATATAAGCACTCACGTGTGCATGCGTGTGTACATTTGTGTATGTGTGTGTGCTCCTGTGTGGGTATGAGACTCAAACTTATTGTGATCCTCTTGCCTCAGTCTCAAGAGAGATAGACTCAAAGTCATTGTGAGTCTCCTGCTGCCAAGTGCTCAGATTACAGACAAGCCCACTAGGCGCCTCTTTCTGGTAGACTTACTGAATGATAGGGAAGAAGGGCATGCCAAACAAGGATACCTCCAAATTTCTTTGCTTTATCCTTCTTCAGCTCCTAGCTAGGTCCCATCCTAATACACCAGGTCTCCTCTGGACCTAAAAGGCTCACCTGATGCAGTCTCTGGTTAGTGGGTGGGTCCCACCATGCAGACCCCTTCCAGGTGGCTTTGGGGTGTGCCACCTGGTCCCTGCCCCAGGCTGCAACATTGGGGACCTTTGGAGAAATGGACAGGGTACGCCGTCTCCGTACTGATTCCCACCCAGAGGCCAGTCCCACCCGGCTCCATAGATGGTAAGAGTCAGGAGAGGAAAAGGTGTAAGGTAGATGGGGGGGGGGTAGGGTCTTGGCAAATGGTGTGGAGCCCGAGCTCCAGGGCAGAAGTCCCTCCCTTGTCATTTAGCTCATGCGAGCACTCAGTAAACACAGCCTGTCACATCTCACCCTTCTGACATCCTGAGCTGGAGGGTCCTACCATCGTCCCATTTTACGGATCAGAACACGGAGAACTGAACTGAATGTGCCCCAGCCCCTCACCCCTTCCCTGGGTACCTCTCTCTGGCTGTCCCTGGCTGTCCCTAGCTGTCAGTCCTGGGGTACGGCTGAGGGGCCACGTACCTGGCACAGAAGGAGCTGGACAGAGCAGCGAGAGATGTAGATTGTGTCTGTGTCCTGGGAGAGTAGAAGGTTGGCAGGACTCTGAGCTCCAGGCTTTTATTCTCCGGAGGAACCTCGGGGCAGCCAATAAGGGCCCCCGCAGGCCACGCCCCAAAGCCACGCCCCTTGGTCCAGGACTGGGCGGTGGCAGGGGAGGGCACTCAGGCCTGGTCTCCATCCTGCCCTCCAACTCTGTCCACCTCCCCTTTCCTCCTGGTTTCTTCACTTTCAAGTGAAGACACTGATCTCCCAAGAACCTGTAGGACCTGGGGTTGGGGGTGGGGGTAGCACTAAAGAGCCATTGCCAGAGACCCTGAGGTCCATCTCACAGCAACAGAAAAGTTGGGCAGTTGCTGGACACTTAGTATGTGGCCGTGAAACAACCACAGCCCAGCCCATGGTGCCTCACACCCACGATCCCAGAAGTTGCAGAGGCAGAGGCAGGAGAACTACACGTTTGAGGTCAGCCTGGATTAAAGAGTGAGATCTTGTCTCAAAATAGAAAGAAGGGGCAGAGGGGAGAATGGGACTCAGCCACTGAACCCCAAATTAGTGTCAAACCATAAAAGACGTTAGTTTAGAGTGGAAATGAGGCTCAGGTCCCAGAGATAGTGAGAGGCGGGACTTCTAAGCCTGTGATTGACAGAGCTACTTACCTCCATCCTCTAGGGACATAATAAAAGGGCAGATGGGTAAGACCCAGGGGATTGGGGGTTCAAGCCCTGGCTCTGCTGTTACTAGATATGCAGCTCTGGGCAAGATGGCCTCCCACAGCCTTTGATTGTTCATTTGTAAATGGGAATAGACGCCAGCAACTGTGCGCCAGGCTCTGGAGATGTGTGTGTTAGGTCTCTCACCTTAAAACTGAACAGGCAGCCAGTGTGTATTAGTAGCCTTCATCATCACCATCACCACGATTACTATGGACACCATCATCTTCATCATCGCTATCTTTACTACAGTCAACCCCATCCCCATTACTACCACGACCTAGAACTGGGAGGTCTTACACCTAAAATCTCTTTCAGCTCTACTCCAAGCCTCTGGCCTGTTTCTGGCTGTGTGCAGAGAGAGGCCTGTGTATCCACAAGGGCGCACACACACTCACACGCATGCACACTGACAGGCAGATGGTCCAACTGCTTCTTTCTCTGGCCTCCCCAAGAATGCGCTCTTGTCCTGATGGCTGTGCCAAGGACACCGATGGACACTGCGTGGCGATAGCGCAGTCGGCCTGCCCTGGCACCCCCCTCCCAGGCGGAACAAGCTGCACATTGTCATTGCTCCCTCTGATCACCCACAACAGGGATGGCCACAGGGTGTGGGTCAAAGGCACGAGATAGGCAAGCTGGGGTAACATGGTTATCACAAAGCTCTTGTGTAAGAAACATAATGAAGGCAATATACAGCAAGCCATCAGTCAACATCAAACTAAATGGGGAGAAACTCAAAGCGATTCCTCTGAAATCAGGAACAAGACAAGGCTGTCGACTCTCCATATCTATTTAACAGAGCAGTACTTGAAGTTCTAGCTAGAGCAATAAGACAGCAAAAGGAGATCAAGGGAACACAAAGCCATTGTGTGGATACAATCATCTCTGGTTTCTCTGTACCAACACCCTAATGCCAGAGTAATGGAGTCCTGGTCCCATGCTATGGATCTCCTGTATGTATCTGACTTCCTTTGACCCATGTTGTAGGTAAGGACAGGCCTGGGGGACGGCGTTTACTGAGAGTCATTGGGGCAAGGGTAACTTGGGGACTCTTAGTTTTTAGGGAACACAGAGCTGATAGAGAGGGTTGGACCAGAAACAGGTGGACCGAGCAGTTCGGATACACCTGGAGGGTCTAGATATCATTATTTTAGATTAAATTTGAGTCAGGGTCTCACGTAGCCCAGGCTGGCCTTCAACTCATTCAGTTGCTGAAGATATCTTTCAACTCCTGATTCTCCTGCCCTCACCTTCAGAATGCGGAGATCATAGGTGAGTGCCAACTGTGCCTACTTCACCTGGTACTGAGGATCAAATGTACATGCTGGAAAAGCACTCTGCCAACTCAGCCATGTTCCTAGCCTCACCCCTTTCCAGCCCTTTCACACAGGCCTCCTTCCCACCTCAGTCCAGTCCAGCATCTCAAGGTGGTATGATTTTTGCATCTGTGGGGACAGTCCCTGGAGATACGTTAGATGTATCAGAGTGGAGAATGTTAGGCTTAGTTACATGCAATGCCCGGCGCAGCTCCAGATACCAACAGCCGCGTCTAAGGAACCACTCCAGGGTAACATGAATGACACCCAACCCTCCTTGTTCTGCCATCTCTGTTCCTGGCACTGCGGCCATGACTTAACCTCATGTACAAAACATGTTCTATTACAACTGCTGCTGAAACAGAGCCCCGAGAGGCGTCACATGGGCATGGTGGCTCATACCTGTCACCCTAGCACATGGGAGGCCGAGGTGGGAGAATTGCTACAGGTTTGAGGCCAGACTGGGGTACAGAAAGAGACTGTGTCTCTAAAGAAAAGGAAAAAGTGGCCAGGTGTGGTAAATCTGTAAACCTGGCACTTGGGGGGCAGAAACGGGAGGATCAGGAGTTTGACGTCATCTGGTGGATTCAAAGCTAGCCTGGGATACATGAGAACCTGTCTCGAAAAAAATAAAACGTGGCACACAGACACACACACACACACAGCTGGAAAGACGGCTCAATGGGTAAAGACATTTGCTGCCAAGCCTGATGACTCCCACAGATTGTCATATGACCCCCACATGTATGCCATGGCACATGCACAAAACCCCAAATAAATAAATAAATCTAAAAAAAACCATTTTTTTTAAATGTTAAAAAAAAAGAAAAGAGTTTGTCTGAACAGGGAGTCTCCCTTGCTTTGGACTCTGTGACCAACCTCTGTGGTCCCTGCTGGGGGACTTGGCAGCCACTGGGCTCTTTTCACCGTGGTCACCTGCTGCAACCCTCGCTGGATGGATGGGGCCTCTGAGAACCCTCTAGGGTTTCCCGGTGGCACCGTCCCTTGCTGACTCCCCCTGTGCGTCATTCCTAGTGACAAACAGTCTTTGCTTATCCCTGATGTGTAAAATCAGCCACCAAGCCAAGGTCAGGACCTGGCAATAGCTGGAGCCTCTCCACAAGGTTATCATTGCCCATGGTGACCCATGGTGACCCGTGCTGGACGTGGGGAGCTGGGCCAGATCCCATGCCCTTAGAGACCCCGAGAGAGACAAAGCAGCAGCTCCTTGACAAGTGAGGAGCGAAAGAGCCTCACACCGCAGGGGCACGTACACTGCTTAGTTTGAGACAACAGGGCTGGGTTTTTTGTTTTTTGGTTTTTTTCCCCTTCTCCTAGGGGTTGCAGCAAATACTACTACTTGAATAATAGTAATGTGAGAACCTTCTGGGGCTCCAGCCCATAGCACCCCTTTAGGGGCGGTGGTCCCCACACCAATGTTTTCATCTGTCACAAACTCTTTCCATTTCTCTGAAGTCCAAGGGGTTTTGTTCTATGAGCCAGGGTCTCACTATGTAGCCCAGGCTGGCCTTGAACCCTTCATTCTCCTGCTTCAGCCTCCGAGTGCTGGGACGAGAGGTGCACACCACTATACCCAGATTAGCTATGGGTTTGTTCGTTGTAAGGTGGGTTCTCCCATAGCCCAGGCTGGCCTTGAATTTCCTTTATAGCCAAAAATGGCCTTCCTCTTCTGATTATCCAGTCTCCACCTGCCAAATGTTGAGATTTCAGGCATTCATCACCACACCTGGTTTAGGTATGCATTTTTAAGTCTCTAGGGAGGCGCGCCCCGGTTGACTGTCCCTCAAAGACCCAATTAGTCACTTTTTTTTTTTTAAACTAACTCCTTCCCTTGCTCTGGGCAAATGAGTTGTGGTGGTGGAGAGTGTCTCTGCCAGGGTTTCAAACTCAAATACATCTGAGGTTCAGTCACAAGCTGTTGGGTGCGGGCTGGGGGGATAGGGTGACCACAGGACTGTGACTTTCCAGAGAGGATGGTATAGCTTAGCTCGGCTGATGGAAATAATGCCCTAAGGTTGGATTCTCAGGCCTGCAATGATCAAACTTCTTGGTCCGGGGTGGGGAGTCTTTGAACTTGGCTGAGGATTCACGCTGTGTTGTGTGTGGGAAGACCCAGATTTCCTTGCTCTCAGTCGCTGCTCACTGGCTTCACCTGCCAGGTCCCTGCTCCTACCTAGTGACTGAGAAGCCGTGCAAAGAGGAGTATGAGGTGAGACTTGTGATGGAGGGGGCCGGGCAAGTGCCCGAGGCAGAAAGGTCTCTTTGTCCTGGGAACAGGGTGCACAGCTGGGGCTGAGGTGGTGAAATGAGGATTAATAAGCAACCCAGAGGACTGGCATGGTGGCTGTGTGGTGGCCTGAGGTGTCCCGGACAGGAGCTGGCTGACAAACATAGCCTCTCCCCCCTCCATTAGCCTTCCCAGCCCACCCTCCCCCTCATCCAGCCAGCCAGCCAGCGGCTGTGGAGCCCAGCCCCTCTGCAGCTCAGCCTCTGGCTCTGCCCCTGCTATGTGACCTTGGGCAAATGACTTGGGTTCTCCGAACCTGTCTCCTCAGTACGGGGTTGATTTTAATGGTTTCTTTTTGTACAGGTAATTGTACATTCTGTGATGAAATGACTCCATAGACTTCTTAGGAAACCTCTTTTACAGCCATAGGAATGATAACAGAGTGCCAGCTGTCGGCCCCAGTGTCTGCTCTACCAGGACACGAGGCCCATATCCCCCCCCCACACACACACACACGCAGAGCTCAGACAAGGCACAGAGAGGTTGAATGATCTGCCTGGGGTTCCCCAGCCAGGAAGTGGTGTTGCTATTATGTGCATCAGAGCCCGTTCCAAGATCTGTGTTCTAGATGCCGAACACCCTGCCTCCCCATGGGAGCACTGTGCCATTCTGTTTTCTTTCATTTCTTGGTTTTCATTTAAAAAAAATTTAAAATTACATTTGGTGTGTGTGCGTGCACGTGTGTGTGCATGCGTGTGTGCGCG